CGATGAGTAACAGGATGTCAAGTGATCAAGTGATTTTGGATTTTGCTACACACCTAACAGTGCTTAGGGGTTATCCCAAATTCCTGGCTCTATGCTCAGGAGTGACCCCTGCTGGTCCTCAGGGGAACATATGGCCTGCTGGGGATTGGAACCAGGGTCTTAATCCTTGCAACAGGCAAGGTGAGCAAGTGCCTTACCGCTTAAAAAAAATAAAACTTGTTTTAATTGAATCACCGTGAGATACAGTTACAAAGCTTTCATACTTGAGTTTCAGTCATACAACGATCGAACACCAATCCCTCCACCGGGACCAGTGTTCCCAGTATCCCTCCCAAGCGCCTTATCGCTTGTGTTACCTCTTGCCCCAAACAATTATTATTATTATTTTTAATTAAGGAAGAAAGAGAGGGGCAAGGAGATGATTCAAAGGACGGGCGCACATGCTTTCCATGTGGGAATCCTGATTCTGCAAGTAGGTTTGGAACAACACTGGGTATGGTTCCCCCAAAACAAAGAGAAAAGCCAGTGATCTTAATACATACTATAGATTGTGTGTGTGTGTGTGTGTGTGTGTGTATAGATTGTGTGTGTGTGCAAAACAGGTGAAAAGGCTACAATCTTTTAGGTCGACAGTGTAGTTTGTGTGTGCCTGAGTTCCCATAGGCACTGAATGGCTTCAATAAAGAAAAGTTCCTTGGGGCCAAAGAGATAGTATAGTGGATGGGGCAGTTGCCTTGCATGCAGTGGACCTGGTTCCAATCTTGGGCATATCATATGGTCCCCAGAATTTATCAGGAGTAATTTCTGAGTCAGAGTCAGAAGTAACCCCTGAGCGTCACTGGGTATTGCTCCCCTCCCAAAAAATAAGTTCTAAATTTCAAGTAAATAAATAAGTCATGTTGATTTCATGTACAGCAATACAACAGTATTATAAAAGTTTTCATCAGATGAAAATAATTTTTCTAATATGTATAATGGGCTGGAGTGATACTACAGTGGTAGGGCTTTTACCTTGGGCACAGCCGATCCGTGTTTCATTCCTCCGCCCCTCTCGGAGAGCCCGGCAAGCTACCGAGAGTATCTCGCCCGCATGGCAAAGCCTGGCAAGCTACCTGTGACGTATTCAATATGCCAAACACAGTAACAACAAGTCTCATGATGGAGACGTTACTGGGCCTGCTTGAGCAAATCGATGAACAACGGGAGGACAGTGACAATATGTATGATGATGCATATAACTAGATTTATTGTGGCACTCTATATGTATGCATAAATTTAATATTTATGCTGAAAATCTGAAACTAATATTAGCACTGTAGTACTGTCCTCCCGTTGTTCATCAATTTGCTCGAGCAGGCACCAGTAATACCTCCATTGTGAGATTTGTTGTTACTTTTTTTGGCATATTGAATATGCCATGGGGAGCTTGCCAGGCTTTGACATGTGGGCAGGGAGCTTGCCAGGCTTTGACGTGTGGGCGGGATACTCTCGGTAGCTTGCCGGGCTCTCCGAGAGGGATGGATGAATTGAACCTGGGTCAGCTGCGTGCAAGGCAAACGAAACTAATATTAAATACTAACATTAAATACTGTTAAATACTAATAGGTAAGGTAAAGGTAAAGGCCCTCCCGTTGATCGTCGATTTGCTCGAGCGGGCCCAGTAACGTCTCCATTGGAGACTTTGTTGTTACTGTGTCTGGCATATCGAATACTCTCGGTAGCTTGCCAGGCTCTCCGAGAGGGCTGGAGCGATAGCACAGCGGGTAGGGCGTTTGCCTTGCAGGCAGCCAAATACTAATAATACCTCATTAAAAATAATTAGAACAAAGACAGAGAATGAGGTGCTTGCCTTGTTCTCTGCCAACCTGTTTGATCCCTGGCACGTCATAGAGTCCCTTGAGCCCTGTCAGAAGTGACCCTGAGCTTAGAGCCAAGAATATACCCTGAGCACTTCCGGGGGTGGCCCCCAAACAAAACAAGATTAGAACTATAGCAAGAGCAAAAACAATGATGTAGGGCTGATCAGATAGTGCAGTAGGTACAGCGCCTTGCACATGGCTGACCTGGGTTCGATCCCCAGCACCACATAGGGTCCACTGAGTCAGTCAGTAATGATGCCAGAATGCAGAGCTAGGAGTAAACCCTGTGCACTGTTGGATGTGGCCCCCAAACCAAAATCAAACTAAAAACAAAGATGCATAAACATTCTTTTGTTAATTTAATCACCATAAGACCTTTACAAAGCTGTTCATGACTGAGTTTTCAGTCATAAAATGTTACATGCATCCCTCCACCAGTGCACATTTTCCCAGTTTTCCTCCCACCCCTCCAAATCCTTCCTGCCCACTTGCATCTATGGAAGACAACTTTCTTCTTCTTCTCTCTCTCTCTCTCTCTCTCTCTCTCTCTCCCTGTTTCTCTGTCTCTGTCTCTCTGTCTCTCTCTGTCTCTGTATCTGTCTCTGTCTCTCTCTTTCTTCTTTTGTGCAGTATGTTTTGCAATACAGGTGCTAAGAGATCATCCTGTTTGTTCAGGATGTTCAGTATTTTTATCAGGAAGGTATAGCTGGAGTAACTTTTTTTTTTAACTGGGTGGCAGCTTTGGGGTGTGGATGTGACTGTGGGGGGCTTCTGGAGGTCCAGAGAGGTGAGGGGGTAGCCCATTTCAACTCCCAAGAAAATCTAAAGATTTCAATCACAAAACCCAAATTGCACATCCAAATTTTCAGGATGAGGTTCGTCCCAAGATGGTAGAATCTAACTGGGGGCATGGTGGTGATTTTGGACTGTGGGAGCAAGTAGCTTCAGGGGACTCTGCGTGGGTAGGCACCAGGCAAACCCAATCTCCTCTGATCTACCCTGTTCTATTCAGCTTTGCATGGGTTGTAGATTAACTGTAGTTCAGAGATTAACTGCCTATTTTGACCTCTTTCAAGATTTATTTATGGGTCTCTGGAGCAAGGCCAATAAATGAGCTTGTATGGCTGAACTGGAGGTGGTTTTGGGTGTGGCTCCCAGATACTTAACTTTTGACAATTTAATTCTTCAAAAACTTGGTCCTGAGTTGTTGGAGTACTGTCAGGTACATAGTGGTGACTCTGTGGTGTCAGGGAGGCTGAGGGGCACCCATCAAGCTGCTGTTGCCCTTGGCACCCCCCACCCCTCCCTGTCCATGTTGATCGCTGAAAAAACTAATTTGTCGCACAAAGAAAATCTGATTAATGCAAAATTTACTCAAAAGGAAAAAGGTAAAGTGATTTTTTTCATTTATCAAGTAAACACTTTTTAATTTATCTTTTGTTTTGGGGCAATGCTCATGGTTTGGTCATATCCTGGCAGCCTTGGGGACTCTTCTGGGATGCTGGATTAAAGTTGGGAGGGCTGCAAACAAGGCACAGACCCCACTTGTTATACTCTCTCTAGCTCCCATTTTTTTTTCAGTATGGATTTCAGAGGCCAGACATACAGAGGAGGGGGCTACGGCTCTTGCCTCGGATGTGGAGGGGCCACTGGGCCTCCTGCACCACATATTGTCTCTGGAGCACTGTCAGGACTAGCCCTGAGCACCTTCCCGATGGCCCGCCAGTCTCCCCAAAGGTAAGGGTTCTACAACACCAAGTTCACCGCTTAGTTGATGGCTTTCCTGTCCCTTTCCTAATATAGGCTGTATCTAAGCACAAGTGAGAACATCACTTATGCTGATAGAGGATCGCGTTGAGGAGGTTCAGCCCGCACGTGCGTATCAGATGCTCAAAAGCTTCTTTTAATTCAGCAATTTCTAGATTAATGCAGTCTCCCCTCCGTTTCTCTTAATCCTGCTGGGAAACACAAAAAGTCTGATAATGGTTCTGTTATGACCCAAACTCTAAACACGGGCCCAGGCTCACTGCGCAGCGACAGCAGCCAGGACCGACCATTGGCTCAGCCTCCGACCTCGAAGCGGGGAGGGAGGGGGGGGCTGTGCGCCCTCGCGGGAGAGGCGGGAACCCCCTCTTCCTGCCCACAGCACAGCACAGCGGGGGTCTGGGACCCCAACCAGAGGACAAGAGGTGCCTGCACAGCCCCCGCCAGACGCCGCAAGCGTGATTCCAGGCTGTGGCGGGGCCTCCCCAGGACCGTCGTTCCTGGAGACCGAGAGAGCCTACTCCCGGCCCGGGACAGGGTGGCCGCCGCATCACGTGCTCCTGGTGGGCGGGGCCAACGCTGTGGGCGGGGCCCCGGTGCGCGCGCACAGGCGGAGGCGGGGCCACGGCCGCGGCAGGGGCGGGGCTCAGGCGCGGGGCAGGCGGGCGCATGTGCGCGCGCGAGTGCCAAGCGCAGGCGCGGAGCCCGTTGCGCGCGCGGCGTGGGCGGGGCACGAGCTCGACGCGCAAATGTGGGCGGAGCGATGGCAGCCGGCGTGGGCGGAGCACACTGGGGGCGGGGCGCCGGTCTGCGCGCGGGCTTGTGCTGCCCTCGGCGCGCTTCCTCTCATCTCGGCGCCGGGTCCGATTGACCACCTCGGAACCTCCCGCCTCGGCGAGACCCGCCTCCGCTCTCCTCAGCCCGGCCCCGCCCCGCCTTCCATTGAGGCCCCGTCGCGCTCTTAGACTCCGCCCGCCTCTTGATGAGGCCCCACCCCCCACGCCTCAGCCCGGCCCTGCCCCGCCTCTTGGTGAGGCCCCGCCCCACTGGCCTCAGCCGGGCTCCGCCCCGCCTCTTGGTGAGGCCCCGCCCCGCTCGCCTCAACCAGGCCCCGCCCCGCCTCTTGGTGAGGCCCCGCCCTGCTCGCCTCAACCAGGCCCCGCCCCGATCGCCTCAACCAGGCCCCGCTGGCGTGAACCCGGTCCCGCCCCGCCCCCTGCTGTGGCCCCGCCCCTCCCGCCTGAGCCAGGCCCCTCCAGCCCGGCCCGCTCCGCCTCTTGGTGAGGCCCCGCCCCGGTCCCTCAGCCCGGCCCCGCCCCTCCCCCTGCCAAGGCCCCGCCCCACTCGCCTGGGCCAAGCCCCGCCCCACGGAGGCCCCGCCCAGTCAGGCAGCATGGCGGCCGTGGAGACGCGGGTGTGCGAGACGGACGGCTGTAGCCGCGAGGCCAAGCTCCAGTGCCCCACCTGCATCAAGCTGGGCATCCAGGGCTCGTACTTCTGCTCTCAGGTGGGCGCCCGCGCCGTCGGCCCGCCTCCCGCACTCCCGCCGCGGCCGGGACCCGGGCGGGCGGCGCGGGTGCACGCGGGCCGTGGGCTGGGGCGGGCGCGGGCCCGGTGGCTGCTCCCGCGGCTCCCGGGGCAGGGGGCTCCGGGCACGGCGAGGGTCCCGGGGCGCGGCGAGGGTCCCCGGACGCGGCGAGGATCCCCGGACACGCGAGGTCCCCGGATACGCGAGGTCCCGGGACCGGCGTGCGGGCTCCCGGGCAGGTGGCGTCCGTTCGTCCGGGGGAGATGAGGCCTCGGCGCAGGTGGGGTCCCCGGCGCAGGTGAGCTTCCCGGCGCAGGTGAGGGGCTCCGGCGCAGGTGGGGTTCCCGGCGCAGGTGAGGGCCCCTGGCGCAAGTGAGGGTCCCCGGCGCAAGTGAGGGTCCCCGGCGCAGGTGGAGTCCGTCCGTCGGGGGGAGATGAGGCCCCGCGCAGATGGGGTCCGTCCGCCTGGGGCAGGTGAGGGTCCCCGGGGCAGGTGGGCGTCCGTCCGTCCGGGGGAGATGAGGCCCCGGCGCAGATGGGGTCCGTCCGCCTGGGGCAGGTGAGGGTTCCCGGGGCAGGTGGGCGTCCGTCCGTCCATCCGGGAGAGGAGGCCCCGGCGCAGGTGGGGTCTGTCCGTCCGGGGGGAGGAGGCGTCCCCCACCCCCCACCCCCACCCCCGGCGCTGTCTCTGCCCGCCGTGTTTGCGACCCGGGAGTGGTGGGAACTCTGGAAGTGGGCGCAGAGGTCCGTGGAGCCCAGTCCTCATTTAGAAACCTGAGTTAGTGGGGTGAGTCACTCTCAGTGACTCAGTTTCCCTCTGACGGACCGACAGACCTGCCGGGCCGCGAGGTGCGCGGGGTGCGGGCCCGGTGGTCCGCACCGGGATCCCTGCCCTCCTGCTCGGACCTCTGCTGCCGCGGTTTAGGAAGCACATGCTCTTCCGGGGTGAGCTGGGCAAGAGCAGAGTCCAGGACTTGGTCCGTCCCTGCCCTTGTTAATCACGCCGCGATCTTGAACTAGTTGAGCCGCTTTTGTTCTCCTTTTCCACCACTGGAAAGAGTGGGAGAGGATTTTCTCTTATTTGATAGTTTTTCCGAGGACCACATTATCGAGTGAAATGCTGATAAAATGTGAAGTATTTTTTCAAGGATGCCAGTTTTAACACTGTATAAAAGTTTAGAGAGTAAAATACAAATATATTACAGTATACACATGTATTTTAAATATAAATTAGGTAAATAATAATGGTGTGTTAAAATAAAGTCCTCAGAGTAATATTGTAGGAAAGCGATTGTGAAAGATCCTAGCTTTGTTGTATAGGTTTTGATTTTAGTTGAGATCTGATCATTGACCTTGTGTGTAGCATTTGGAAAAAGTTGCACATGGAGAAGTGTTGCTTGATCTAAAAATAGCACCAAGATTACTCCACATGCTAAGCTGGGTGTGAGTCCTTTTGTTTTCTTAAATTAATGTTCATATTTTGATTTGTGGAGGTTTATGTGGAAACATAGACTTAAAACCATAAAGTTTGTCTTTTGGTAATTTTGTATCATCCAGATATAATAATGTGGTTTATATTGTGTTGAAAATTAGGCCAGGGGACTGGAGTGATAGTACAGTGGGTAGGGCGTTTGCCTTGGATGCGGCTGACCCGGGTTTGATTCCCAGCATCCCCTATGGTCCCCGAGTCAGGAGTAACCCCAAGCATCTCTGGGTGTGACCCAAAAAGCAAAAAAAAAAAAAAAAAGAAACAAAGAAAAAGAAAATTAGGCCATACTTTGTAAGGCTAAGTAAATTAATTTGTACAGACTCTAAACTGCTGAATTCAAAAAGGGTGAAATGTATCCTCAAAAAAGAAAAAAGAAGATATTCGGGGGTGGCAGGAGGAAAATTAGGGACATTGGTGCTGAGAAAAGTACTCTGGTGAAGGGATGGGTTGTTGGAACATTGTATGACTGAAACGCAATCATGAACAACTTTGTAACTTCGTATTTTGGTTGAACTGTGGTTCAGTTAAAAAAAAGAAAAGAAAAAAATGGTACTTTGGTGACCTGAGCCACAGTACAGTGGGTAGGGTATTTGCCTTATAAGCTACCAACCTGAGTTCAATCCCTGACACCTAGTATGGTCCCTTGAACCTTCCAGGAGTGCTCCCTGAGCACTCTTGTGGCCCTCCAAACAAAAAAATCAACAACAAAAAAGATACTATGAAGCTGTATTCATCAAGGCTACCTTTTTTCTCTCTCACTCCCTCCTTTCCCTGCAGTGCTCAGGGATTACTCCTGATTCTGGAATTACTCAGGAATTACTTCTGGCAGTGCTCAGGGGGACTATATGGGATGCTGGGCTCTGGGGAATCAGATGTGCTGCTGGGGAATTGAACTTGGGTCAGCTGCATGCAAGTCAAGCTTCCTGCCTCCTGTACTCTCTCTCTCGGTCTTCAGGTTTTAGGTGAGAGGCTACAACCCAGAGCCTCACACATGCCAGTCTCTTCCATTGAACCACCCCCTAGTTTGGTATTCCTCAGTGAAAAGAACATTGGCTCATTGGTGTTTGGAAGAATGCTAAGGCACTTGTGAAAACAGGTAGGATTTGTTCAGTATGGTAGGGTGGAGGTATCTTACTTGCATGGGTTCTGCTGGTATATCTCTGATTTTGTCTCTAATCTGTAGTCAAAAACTGATTGACCTCATGTTGTCTCTCACGCTCACTACTACCTCATATATGTATTAAAAAAAATTGTTTAGGTTTTGGGCCACACACCCCATGTATTAAAAAAAATTGTTTAGGTTTTGGGCCACACACCCCATTGTGCTTAGGGCTTACTCCTGGCTCTGGTAAGGGATTGCTCCTGGAGGGCTCGGGGTACAATATGGGTTGCCAGGGCTCAGACCCACGTCAGCTGTGTGCAAGGCAAGTGCCCTGTTGCCTTGCACTATTGCTGTACTGTTGCTCCAGCTCCCTGCAGGTAGTTTTAAAAAGTTTCGTACCAAGTCAGTTACAGTGATTTCAGTTGCAGTGAACTATAATTTCTGACCTTTTCAGATCTGTACTCTCAAAAAAAATCAACCAAATCAAACTTTTAGTTCAGAAGTTCTTTTTTCTGTAGTCTGATTGTGCCTGTCTTTACCCATAACAGATAATGCCCGGTTGCTGGTAGGGGTTCTAACCCTCTTCTAAGTCCAGTTTTATTTTCTTGCTCTAACCAGCAGTTATCTTTGTACTCAGGAAGTTGTTTTTGTACTCAAGATGACACCTGTCTCTAGAATCACTGCTTTGTAATTTATTTTTTTCTTTTGAATGTGGGGGGATGGGGTATCCCCAGTAGTGCTCATGGGCTCTCTCCGGACTTGGTGTTTGGGGTAGCTGGGTTGGGTGAGGCTCTGCTTGCGAAGCATGTTCTTAAGCCCTCTAAGCCATCTCCCAGGCCCCACAAGTATGTCCTCAGCCCCAGCTTGGGGCTGATGCACTCACTGCTTTCCTCGCCCACTCTCCATCTCTGTGATGAGTACTAGGCCCTACCACCATGACCTTCTGCACCAGGAGCAGGCTGTCTTGTACTCTGTGCCTTGTTCTCTGGTGCCGACATTGGCCTACTGGCTAGCTTATCTTTGCGAACAAACAGAGCAAACTATAATGCCTTTCTGGAAGACTTAGCAGAAGAAGTAAGCCTTTCCCAGTATCTCTGTCATATCATCTGATTTCCTTTATAACATTGTGTACAGTCTCTATGTTTTAGATATCTCTGTATCATAGGTGAATTTCATGAATAAGCTCTCTTGTTTACCATACTATCATTTCTCAAGATAGTTATATATATGCAGTAGGTGGTTAATGAATGTTTGACCCAAACAAATATGTCAGAAAATAGAATAGACAACTAGACTGCTACTTTGATTCATTACCCTATTACCTCCTTATTGTGTGACATTGGGCAAATAACCTCTCTGTTTTTCTGTAGCAGGCTTTTAAGTGATGCCATTGAAAGTACATGAGGATTTTGGTGAAGACTAAATGCTAAGTGTATGTAAATCAACCAAATCAAAGTTTTTGTTCAGAAGTTGTATATTGGCAAATCCAACCCATATTTGCTCTCATACTGTTTCATATGCTTAAGAAGGTAATTTTAAGTGCTGAATTTTAAGAAGGTTTGTTTCTTTTTCATATTTTTGGTTATACTCAACTGTGCTCAGGGATCATTTCTGGCGGGGCATGGGGGACCATATGGGGTTGGTAACATGCCAGGCAAATGCTTTACTCTCTGTACTGGTTCTCTGGTCCCAAGAATATTCGTTTCTTTAACAGTAAAATCCATTTTCTTGAAAAATCAAGCTTTTCGGACTTAACGATTTTATTATATTTAAGAGAGTTTGATTTTATTTAATGGTAGTATTGTGCAGGGGGCCCCACTAACCACTCTCCGGCCCGCGGAGGTGGCCCGAGGATTGACCCGATGGTGCAAGGAGGGACCAACCGAATGAACACAAAACACAAGAGACAGAGTACAGTTTAGAAACAGAGAGAAAAAGGGACAGAACTTTATTGGGGGCTACAGGCTGTTTATATAGGGTCAGGGCAGCCCAGTCAGGAGCGAAGCAATATAACCATACATGGTAAGGTCAGTAACAAGAGCTTTACCTAACTTTCAAGGTAAACATTTGTACATCAAAGGGTCTTATGGCTGTAGGTGCATCCTGAGCTTTACATTTGTATATCAAAGGGTCTTAGGGCAGTAGATGCATCCTGGAGGTTACTATAGATAAGGCCAGATAAGATAACTGTCAGCCTGATGTTAGTTTGCTATAGATCAGGCATCTGCTGAGGTCAGGAAGCCCTGGGAGACTGTCACCAATGTCTGTCCCAAGCAGTTCCTAACATGGGAACCTTGGCCAGGGTTTATGAGAGGGCTCTTGGCTTCCCACAGTATTGTATACCTACTTCGGAGTTTTTTAGAGTTTTAAAAATATGTCTTGGTGTTTGAGCCACACCTGGCAGTGCTCAGGGCTTACTCCTGGCTCTGCACTCTGGCAGGTTCAGGGGACCATATGGGATGCTGGGGATTGACCCAGGATGGCCACGCGCAAGCCAAACACCCTGACTGCTGGACCATTGCTCCAGCCCTTCTAAGACTTTTTTTTTCAAAGCTTAGCTATGATTTATTCATTTTTCCGTTTCTCTAGTGTTGTACTGACTTTAGTATGTATGTGCTGACTTTATTAAATAGAAGAGGAGAGATCTGTGGGCCTGAGAAAGCAGGTAAAGAGCGTTTATAGTCCTAGTGAATAGCCCAAGGAGATGCCGTGCATCTTTCCTTAGTTAAAGGACCCCTGGATATAACCTGAGCATTGCAACCATTTATAGACATATAAACTTGGTACACTGTGGGGCTGGGAGATGACTCAGGGTTATGTCACATGCTTTGCATGTAGGAGCCCTGGGTTTGATCCCTGGTACCGTTCGTTAGGCACTGAGCACTGGCATAGCCCTGGAGTACAGCTGTGTGTGACCCAAAAATTATAAACCTAAATCAAATAAATTGTATGCTGTGAATGGAAGGAGACTGGGTTTGGCATCATTTTTTGCTACTATTCCCTGATTTTGTAAGAGGTGCATGGTGCTCTGTGATGGAGCTGAGGAGACCCAGAGGCTCGGTGTGCGTTCAGTGAGTGGTTTTATTGTGTGAAGAACCTTGTATCCAATAGGGTAGCTATTGAGAAGGTGTGAAAATATCCAAGATTTGGAAATATTCAAGAGACAGTACAGCGCATAGGATGTTTTGTTTGCTTTGTACATGGCCAACCAACCACACATGGTCCCTTGAGCACTGCCAGGAGTGATCCCTAGCATTGCTGGGTATGGTCCCAAACCCAGTTAAACAATATTCAGGGAGACGTATTATTCGTTTATGAACATGTTGAACAAATTCTTGTAACAGGTTCTTTTTGTGGTGGGGTGGAGGTGTGTTGTGGGATATATATGTGATGTTTGGGGGCTAATCCTAGCCTGGCACTTGGGGATTGCCCCTTGAGCTGCTTGGGGGATCATGTGGTGCCGGGGATGCATGGGCTCTTGGGATCCAGGCCTCCTGCATATAAGCTTGTCCTCAGCAATTAGAACGCTTTCTCCACCCTTTCTCGGTGGGTGCCTGGTTGGAATTGGAAAGTGAGAAAAATATTGCCGTTCTAATAGGCAGCTCTTTGAAACACAGCTCTGCTTTCAACCCCCCCCCTTTTTTTTTTTGCTTTTTGGGTCACTCCCAGTGATGCACAGGGGTTACTCCTGGTTCTGCACTCAGGAATTACCCCTGACAGTGCCCAGGGGACCATATGGGATGCTGGGAATCGAACCCGGGTTGGCCGCGTGCAAGGCAAACACCCTACGCTCTGTGCTATTGCTCCAACCCCTCAAAAACCCTTTCTTACTGGGTAGCAGGGTTCCTGACAGTTCGGTGTATTTCTAGAATTCATGCTCATTCATGGAGAGGCAGCCATAGCATATTATACTTTCAACATTACAGGCATTTTCTTTATATTCCTTCTGTATCTGTCTGCCACCCTTGATAGTATTGTAGGGTGTTTTGTCACAATTAACATGGCGCCTCAGAAATAAAAGGAGAGGAAGAAGGTATGAAAAGTGACTTTAAAAATTTTTATTAAAAAAATAGAGGTCCCACCCAGTGTTCTTAGGGACCCGTAGCCACTCTTGGTGTTTTTTTTCCCAGTGCTGTGACCGACCAGCACACCAGGGCCACTGGAGAGTCACATGTGGCAGAGCATGGGATGCCGTGCTTTGCTTGGGTCTCACATGTATGAGACGCGTACTCTGCCTGGCCTGCTAGGGAATTTTGATTATTTGGCATGGGGCCACACCTGGTCGTGTACAGTGCTCCTGGCTCTGTGTCCAGGGACTGCTCTTGGTGGTGCTGGGGATCCATATTAGGTGCCGGACATCGAACTTCCTGCATGCAAGACATCTGCTCCAGCCCTCTATCGATCTTCTTGGCTATCTCTCTTGTATGTAAGTTTTTCTTCAGGTTTGGCATTTGTGCAGAAGTTTTGGTTTGGTCTGAGTCTGTTTGGTTGTTTTGGCTGATAGACCATAAGCACAGAGGTAGCTGCGTGCCCCGAGTTAGAGAATGGTACAGAAGAGCTGTAGTCTGAAACTATTGCTAATGGACGCAGACTTGCCTTTGGGTTCTTTGCAAGCCGGTTTGCACACGTGCATAGAACACACTATATAGGTTCACGTGAAGCTTTGATTGAGTGGAATACCGAGATAACTCCTGGTTGCTCGTGAACCTCTCACCTCACAGCTTGAACAAGAAACATTCCCTTATATTTGTTTGGACAGGTTCCCCTGAGTGAGTTACAGCTCACCTTCTGTGCACATGCATGCTGCTGTGCCTGCTGTGTGTGTGAACCACACTTGCTGGTCCTCTGGGGGCCCGTGTGGTGCTGGAGATCGAACCTGGGCCTTCTGCATGCGAAGCAAGAACTCAGCTGCTGGCCTGGATATGATTTCTTTTGTTTCTGTTTTTGGGCCACACCCGGTGGTGCTTGGGGATTATTCCTAGCTCTGCAGTAAGGAATCACCCCTGGTGGGCTCAGGGGACCAGATAGGATGCTGGGGATAGAACTGGAATTGTCTGTGTGCAGGGCAAATGCCCTACCTGCTCTACTGTCCCTCTGCCCCCATGACTTGCTTTGAATAAAGAGCAAATGCTCTCTGTGAGATAAGCCTGCCTTCATCTGTAGTTGAGCTTTGAAGAGCAGAGACACTTGGGGAAGTCTCCAACTGTATGTTTTAGGTCTTTCCTTGTAGCACGTTTCTCGGTTGATGTGTGTGAAAATAGCCTGAATGTCCATGGGCAGAGAAATGGATATGTACAGTGAAATGGTGTTCTCCTTTAAGGGAGATGTCACATGCTGACCCTTGAGGGCATTATGCTGAGGGATGTAAGCCTGTCACCAAAAGAAGAGTGCTGCTAGATTCCACTTATGTGGCATCTGAAATGTTCCGATCAAGGGCCAGTGAGAGCTCAGTGGGCGGAGCACTGATGTAGGAGCTCCAGATTTGGTTATTGGCACCACGTGGCCCTTGAGCTTCTGGAGCAACCCTGAAGCAACGCTTGGACTAGGAGTAGCTCCTGGTACTAGAGGCTCTACAAAAATAAAATTCCCTGTACAAAGAGAATTTTGTATAAAAGTGATTCCTTCTCCTCCTCCTCCTTCCCTCCTCCCCCTCCCCTTCCCTCTCTGCCTACCCCACCGCCTCTTACACGTGGTGCTCCGGGCAGAGTCCTGGCAGTCTTGGGAGACCATGTGGGGTGCCAGGGATTGAGCCCAGATTGACCATGTGCTCTACTGTCTCTCTGACTCCTGAAGTGAAATTCAGTTCTCTCTTGTTTCTGTTGTCTGCTGGCTCATCTGTCTTGTTGCCAGGTTGAGTAGGGGCCATTCCTCAGTGTAGCAGAGCTGTACCATGACTGCAGGAGACTTTCCTGAGTCCTGGCCTGTCCACTGGGTCTGCGGCTGGGACACTTTCTGGGTGATAGGCACAGATCTCAGAAGAGAGGTTAGAGTACAGGTGACCCATGTCATGGAGACTTTCCCTTCCGTTGTTGCTGTAGAGGTGACAGAGATTGCTCCGTATTCTAAACTTTGATGATCCTGCCTTGTAGAGAGACAGGCGGCTGTTCTGCTTTCAGTTGTGAAGGTCACTCTTTGAGAAGCTACATGTGAACCAGATCATTCAGTAAAATAGGCAAGTGTATGTGCCACAGGAGTATGGGTATGGTGTAGTTCTTTTTTTGGACAGGGATTTATTTTATTCCATATTATGTCACTGGTACTAGTAATGGGTTGGACTACAGAATGCTGATTACTTGGCAGTTTTTACTACTAAACAATTGTAGAGAAAAATTTATTTTTGGTTTTGGGCCACACCTGGTGATGCTCAGGGGTGACTTCTGGTTCTGCCTTCAGGAATTACTCCTGGTGGTGCTTGGGGAATCATATGGGGTACTGGGGATCAAACTTGGGTCGGCTGCATGCAAGGGAAGTATCTTACTTGCTGTACTATTTCTTCAGCTCCCCATAGGGAAAATTTTTAAGGGCAGTC